ACACGTGACGCTGACAAGCTGACAACGATCGCTGGCCAGCGGCTGACTCTGCTGTTTCTCCGACTATGACGTCAAACTCTGCCGCGGGCTGCCTTTTTTTTTGGGGTGGGCCTTCGTCTTTTTGATAACCAGCCAAGAAATACTGAGCAATAAAGCAAGATACTTTGCCCCTTTTCTGTATAGGGAACGGGAATGCAAAATGGGGAATGGTGAAATGGTTAAATGGGCTTATATACTTCTCAAAGGAGAGAGAATGTGGCGGCCGCTTTTTGCGCAGTTTTATTTCGTTTTCAACTTAATCAGTCTTTCGGAATATTTGCCTGTTAAATAAAACGAACGTTTGTTTGCTCATCGTGAGCATTCACCTGCTTTTTTTTTTTTGGAAACGGGTTTACGGACAAGGGGGGCGACCCAACGGCAACGGCAACGGGAAAGGTAGAGAAAGATAACGTCAAATGTGAATGTCCCGAGGTCGGCCGTGAGGCATAATAAATATAGTACTTGCGAATCATGACTAAATGTATGGCCAACTAGGAGAGTAACGTAACACCGCCATATTTATATAAAGTAGATTCTTTCTGGATCCAGATCAGGCCACGCAGACAGTATTATCAGCGAACGGTGGATGTTGTCGCAGACCTCCGTAATATTGTCATATTATTAATGAAATATTGATAAGGCAGCGCGTGCGTGGATGTCGTAATTGAATATTTGAGGTCTAATCAGCTGCTTTATGCGAAAATAAATCCATACAAAATGGGAAATGGAAATCAGAATTCGAATGGTAAGGAAGGCGGGGCCCGGGGCCCGGCGCCCGGGTCACATGCTCTTATCATACAAGGAGGAGGGTCTCGTCTCCTGCCTCGCCAGACAAATTTGACAATGCCGCCTGGCGGAGCGATTACAAAACGATTGGAGTGAACGGTTGAACCGGTTTGAAGCGGTGGTCAATGTGAAGTATTTGAAAGTGCAGGCCAGGCACTTCGATTCGGTTCGATTCGTTTCGTTTCGATTACAAAACAGATCTAGCAAACACGAATGTACGTATGTGCATATAGATAACATCTGTGTTTGTTCACGGACACACAGAGAATTCAATTTTCATCGCTTTTTTGCACGTTCCTTAAGTGCCGTTATTTATCTACTTGCTTGTTTTGTGGTGGCATTTTTCACAAACTGTTTTGTTTCTTGCAATTATATTCTGCTCAGAAATGAGCGTTGACGGCGCCGCTCGCTGCTGGCGTCGCCGCTTTGGTTACGAAAACATTATTACATAAGTGAAAAAAGCAGAAAGAAGGCAAACAAAAATAATCGCGTGAGAGCAGAAATATAGATGAAAATTATGCGGTGCCCCGAAGATGATGCCTCCCGATCCGATGCTAATTGGTGTGAAATAACACTCTCCACTGCCAGCGAGAGCGATGAGTTTGCACTTGCCACCGCCCCCCATCCGCCCCATTTGGAGCGTGACTCGACGGCGTATGGGCCCGCGGATAATTCATTCAAATATTACTTTTATCCGACTAATTATACACTGTTTTGGGGAGTAGACCGAATAAACCAATATACGATTATATGTACGCATGAAATACTGTATGCGGACTGCTCCCAAAAAAACCAACCGAATATATATACTCGTCACGGCGTATCTGACAGATACGTTTGTTCGTGTTGAGTGCTGCGCGTCGACTGCGAACAGTCGGGGCCCACCGAGAGGGAGATACATTTTAGAAATCGAATTTGTCGGCTGCCTCCTCTCGTTTTGCGTTTTCTTTCGTCAAAAGCGAACGGAAGGAAAGGAAAACAGAGAGCGTGTGATAAAAACACACACAAACGAAAACAGAAAACGGGCACATGACACTGCAAAACAATGCATCTGTGTGTGTGGGTGCACGAACGGCTCTGTAGCTCAAGGAAAAGGGGGTATGGCCAGTCAGCTGATAACAATCCAGGTATCGCATACACAAGTTCCTTAACTTATCTCATGGGTTCGTTCGTCTCGTTCGTTTCTTCTGGTCTGTTCCCCTGTACCTCGTCTGGCCTCTTTCCCTATTTATAGGCAGAATTTTGTTTACAACAAACAAAAGTCCGCCCGCTCGTCAGCCGGCCGCCTTTTCGACAGAGCCGCCCACACAGGCTATGTGGGAGGGGAACAAATACAAAACCAAGTACATTCTTCTGGTTAATATTAAAAAGTGTATCGATTACCTCCTCCCCGACTAATCAATAACATTTTCAAGTTCATACACGCGCTTGGTCTATCGGCATTGGTTTATCAATTCTGATGGGCTTCAAAGGTGCGGAATTCCAGGAACGCAATCGATAAGGCGAGAGTCTCCACTTAGCGGGGACAGAAACCACCCTGCAACTGCATTTCATTGAGGGGTCCAACTAGACGAGCCCCCTCCGACGCACAGCTGGCCATAGTAGAAGAAGAAGAAGTGGAAGGCCAAAGGGAGTTGGGGAAACAGCCGAAAGAGAAATAAAAAGAGAGCAAGAAGTGACGCTATAGTCCTAACAGTTCTTTCAGTGAGTGCAGCTACACTGAGCGAGAGAGAAAGAGAGTTAGCAAGCGCGAAGCTCAAATGCCGAAACAAGCTGCACAAGAGAGAGAGAGGCAGAACTGCAAGTATGCGCTGGTCTGGGACTATCATACCGTTCTTATCATAGGTTTGAGAGCCATAGAGCTATTTGTTTAACTGGCAATAACCAACAAAAACGAGGGCAACAACTTGTTATGTTAACCCCCCTCCTTTTCTCACGCACAGCAAAAGCTAACTGTGCCGCGCGCTTTCTTCTTCGAGTTGATTGATGATTCACAAAACGCGAGCATAGAAAAAAGCACACGCGGCAATTGGAATGGGAACGGAACGCACAATTATTGCGTCATCGATGCAGCAGACACGAAATAATTTTTACAAAATCACATGTGACGTAGCCATTTGTAGGCGGCAACAAGAGCTGCACCGATAGCGAGCGACAGCAGAAAAATCGTTGGGAAATTTCACTTTTCATGCGATTAGCAGGCGCAAGCGCATATTGAGGGTCCACCGCCCACCTGCACTTGTATTATATAAGAACAGTCCTTCGCCAGGGCCATGAAAAAGGCTCTCAAAATGCATTATGGAATCCGGGGAACTTCACTGACTCCCTAGGATGGTTGACCACGCGGTGGACAGTTAATGGGAAGTCCACTGGACTCAAATTCCAGGAAATTCACATGATCGAAAAGCGAATGCAAGGGAAAATGTTAAAGCCACCTCAAGCACACGAGTTTTCACAAAACTGAGACAGACACATACACTACAGATTATTATACGCTACACTTGCGATTAATTTTGCACTTGAAATCCTTAAATAGAAAAAATTTAAACTTATTTACGTTTTTACAGCCAAAACTTTTTTATAGGGATGGGCGACAGTGTGACGCGATAAGATATACCGTCTGACCCTCAGAAATATACCGAAATATATCGCCTCATTTACAAAATATACCGAAAAAGTATATAACAGAACGTAAACGGGCACCCTGGTGCGCACGTTTTTTCCAACTTAACCCACTTAACCCCTCTTTATTTAAATAGATGAAAAAATTGAGTGAAGGCGCGGAAAATTATACTGTTTTGTAGACGCGTCCTTTCACTCTAATACAAAATAAAGAAAGTTACCACTATTGCTTTAACCTGAACTGCGCTATTATTCTTCAAGTTGCTTTATATTTGTGGAGTATATTTGAATGGTCGACAATGGGTTATTCGTTCTCTGTCCACGATTGGAAATCATATTTCCAAATTTGATATTCGGTTAAATGTTACTAGATTGGATCCTCAACACTGAACACATCATTTAATCATTTAATCCGATAGATGAAACAATTTGCTACAAGTTATGCTAATTTTAAGTACTCCCTCTTATTGGATTTTTTACAAAATAAGGTTGTTAAACTTGTCAACAAAAATGAACCCAAAATAAATTTTTTTCATAACAAACAAGGCATCTTTTCAAGGCATTTCTCTATCCCGCTTTTTATTAAATTCAATTTAATCCAAAGAATGAACTTATTTTATTTATTTTCCCCTACGACACAATTAACAAAGGGAAACAGGTGGAGCCACCATGGCGTATATCTCACATGTAGATACCGTGTGGCAAATTTTTACCTGTTGTGTTAGCAATTTTTTTATAAAATCCAAAAAATATCATGACTCAATCCGGGTATTGCCCTACATTCAAATCTATATGAAAAATATAGAGCCAATATAACCAGCTTCCGCTGAGGGCCGTCCGGGTTAATCTATCCTAACCTAACGAGCTTCCACCTCCTTTGAACCAGACGTCAGGTGGATTTCATCTGATATTATTTAAGCGGTATATTTTTCCGTTTGGAAACGTTCGGATATACTCGACTTAATTCGATTTTCTTACTACACAAACTGGCAAAATAAGCCAAACAAATTTTTTCTACCCAGAAAGTCTGGGAATGTGCAGCAAAAGATACATATGTCAACAAAATAAGAATTAGGCAAAGGAAAACCCTTAAGGGCGATGACCGGTGCTCCTTGGTTTGTTCGGACTTCAAAGCTTGAAAACGAACTCCACATTCCTAAAAATGGAGATCAAGTAAACCATCACAGTAGTCGATACAATGACAGATTTTTAATCATTCAAATGAAGCAGTTAGAGGACTCTTACTGACTTACAAATAGAAAACAATTTGCTAAATAATACAAAACCAAAATCATCTTATTAAAATGTACACGTGTATGTATATATCGAACTATTAAACTCTTAAGATAAGTAGTAATAGCCATTGTTAAGGTATAACTGATTTCTAATAATAAATAAAAAACATTAATTTAAAAAAAAAAACAAAAAAACAAGTTATAAAAAGTGCCGCAACCATGGTATGGGATGGTCGTAACTTGCAATTGGATTTGCACTAAACATTTTATTGACACACGCCACACACATGGATATACAGATACACACACAGGCTAATACTAATACCGGCTATACTGATCAAGGCAATAGCCTGTAATTTGGTCCGATATGCAGTCGAAGACGTCGAAAGCCAGATCGCAGCTTTCACCTTTCTGCGGCAACGCCTGGCGATTGACACGGTACTTGGTGGTCATGGCCCGCAGGCAGAGATTCACCGAGCGCAGGGTGGCCATAAAGAAGCCGTGCTCGTGGACGCCCTCCGAGTAGAATTGCACCAGTCCGTCCAGTGTGGGCCAGCCCATATGATCGATGGCATGGTTCTTGGCATAGACGCAGTGCAGCAGACACTAAAGGGGATTGGGGGAAAACGATGATGAAAACGAATGGCAGCCATTCAATTTGCTGATGCATAAAATCCAGCAGCTAATGTGTATTAAGTGCGCTTTACAGTGTGAAAAACCTGAGATCCGAGACCTGAGGCTGGGAGGCGTGTGATTATGAATGGAACTGAAAATGCAATGAAAATGCAGTGGCAACTGCGGCCTAGCGCTTTTCTTTCAATTGTCTATTAACCCTGACTTTAACATGGGCGGTGAGTGGGCTAGGGGGGGCAGGGAGGGGGGTGTAGTGATTATTCTCTGGCCATATTGTTTTTCTTTGGGCTGCCATTGAACTTAATTGAGCGTTGGCTTGCATTTCATTAACACTTGAAGATGGCTCTCCAGCTGCCCCTGAAGATCTCTGTGATAGGGGGAGTATCACTTACCCCCGCTATACGCTTGTCCTCCAGCGGCACCAGAGTCGGGTGATATATGTCCGAACGTGCCCCATCCAGGCGTCGGATGTTCTTCATTAGACGCGCCATACGGCGATGTGGTTCGGGCTCATCGAACAATATGTACTCGTAGTGGCTGGCATTTAATGGCCCAGTGGGTGGATGATCCAGTTCTACGCCTGAAGATCCACTGGGAACAGAGGGCCACATATAGTCGATGGTATCATCGTTGGGATCGATGGGGGGCTGATCCTGCGACACCTGCTCTTTCAGTATTTCATAGGCTTCTGTGGAGGCAATAAGTCCATTAGGGTGTGAGAGGATTCGCTGATTTCTGCACCCACCATTGACTAGTTTTGTCTTCACCTCATCCTGGCAGTGCGTGATCACGGACTCTACCTTGCGGGCGGTCCTGGGAGGATTCAGACAGCGCGACTTCTTCGTCTCGAAGCGTATTATATAGCCCACGGCATCGATCACACCGATCGATGTGATAACCACCACACACAAGATATATAAAAGTTGTGTAATTTTCATCGCAAAAGATTGATTAATGGTTGAACCAACGGAGGAGCTGAACAGATCTGAGCCCCTGGGCTGCTGTCAAATGAATGCCGCCGCCAGAGGAGCTCAAATGAAAACGAAAGCATTTTCACTTTCGTTCACAGGATGGCGGCTTTTGGCTGCTGGCGGCTGGTCACCTCTATGATCCGTCGTCTGGGTGAGTGAAACGTATATGAGATTCCAGTTTTGCTCTATGGGTATGTGGTTCAATGGCAAGTTGTCCGACTGCCTGCCTGCCACAACTGGTTGCACATTTCCCATGCGTGCAGTTGCCTCCAAATCGTTAGAAACTTGTCCTTAAAGCCAAAGTCGACCACATGCTTACGATGAACACATGGTCATTGGCAGCATCTCACTGCGGCTGATGATGTTATTGCGGCTCCCCGATCGTATCGGGTATCCATTCCATTATTTTCAATTCAAATATCAAGCGCACCCGCTCCATTTGACTGAACAATTAACCAATAAACGGCCCAGAACTAAAACCACAAAAGTCTTCCGCATTCGGTCAAAATTTGCATATGTCTGGAAACCGTAACATAAAGATCATAAAGATTATCATAGGCGGTAGTTGGCGGTGGTTTGTTGGCCGTAAAGCCAGAGCCAAGTCTTTGTCATCATAATCAGCGAAGCGGTCCGAAGTTTGTGCCTTGAGTCTTTCGTTCTAATCAGCGGAGGAGGAGGTGGTCCCGCACCCGCACTCGGACTCGGAATCGGACAAGAGGAGAGGGAGAGAGAGAGAGGAGCATCCAGAACAATGGCCAATAACTGTACTTGGAAGCGGCTACATACTAATTATGGTTCATTAAAAAGCACCGAGAACTTTTGGAGGCTTTGGCACATCCTAGGCGGAAATTGTGTCGCTTTCGTAGCGGGCGTACATAGCTCATCGAAAACTGTGGCTCTGGCTGTGGCTTTGGCTGGTAGGTAATTGCCTTTAATTGCATGATGCAATGCCGCTGACCGCTGCCGCAGCAAATTGCAGCTAAGACACTGACCTAGACTCGGAGCGGATCGAATTCGTAATCGCCACACAGTCCCAGTCTCAGTCCCAGCCCCGGCCACCTAACGGTGCCCGCTGCCAAATTGAATATTTCGCCTCTCTCTGATCCTCGACTCGACTGAAGTTCAATGCAATGGCAGCTGCCAGAATGCTCGGCCATAGATCCGTCTCTGGGTGGGGATGTCAACGGCAGGAAGAGCTCTCTGTCTCTGTCTCTGACTCTGACTCTCTCTCTCTCTCAAGAGGGTCGGTCTCAGGGAACAACGTGAGCTAATTGACAGGCAGTTGCGCGCACGATTTTCCATTTTCCATTCGCCATTCCCCATTCTGCACTCGCCATTTCCCATTCCAGGCCATATTCTCCCGTTCTTGTTGCAATTTACTGAACAAGGAGCCTGGCCTGCCACCAGAATAAACAACAACAGCCACTGCTCTCGTCGTAGTCGTACAGCTGCCACAACAACACTTGCGTGTCCGTCATTAGAACAAATTCTCTCACCTGCCCCTGCCACACTGCCACACTGCCACACTGCCACTGCCACTGCTGCTCCTCTCCTCGCCTCTTCACTCCACTCCTGTCCTTTCTTAGAAGGGTGTGTGGTGGGGGCGGGGAAAGCCACATTTCTTGCAACGCAATTTGCACACAAATGCTGCTGTTTCATCTTCGTGGCTTCCACTCTGCTGCCTGGTGTTTCGTGGCTGATGTTTCGGGGTTCGGTGGGTGGTCAGGTGAGACAAGTGGCAGCAGCAGAGGCAACACGAACCGCTGATGTACTGTGCTGTGCTGTGCTGCCACCGTTGGCTGCCTCGCCTGAGAATCGTATTTAAATACGAAGGTCTAACGATGGGGCGCATCAGTCGTCGTCGTCGCGTTGTTCTTGCCGCCTGCTCACTGTATCATCGTCTCCATAGTTTCCATAGTCTCCATAGTCTCCATAGAGAGAGAGTCCCAGTCGAGATCGGAATCGGATTCGTATCGGTCCAGACATCGTAGCAGACATTCGCCTGGTGATTTGTGCTTGTGACTCTTCCTGTTCCCTGGGACAGGATGCTCGTTTGAATCTCTCACAATCCAATCTTGATTGAGGAGTCGAGTGTTCGACAGCGAAGATGCTGCATCTGCATATGCTTTGGTTTCTATGCGCTCTCCTGGGATACTTTGCAGATCCGGCGAGTGCTGAAATCGAATACAATACCATCAACGAGGATGGATCTTTTCAGTTTCGGTATTGTGACAAATAATTGCATGAATGAGTTGCACCCTTTCCATTTAATTGAGTAAAGGACTTTTTGTTTTGTTTTTTTTTTTAATACAAAGAAAAAGTGGTTTGAAAAAGAATTTGAATGGATACGAATCTAAAAGAGACAAAATGTTATATGCCAGGATCAATATGTTTTAAAAGATTGCAGTTTTCTATTTTTTTTTTTAATTTTTGTATTAAATGTGTGCCTTTAATATACTTGGAAAAAAGTACAGTTGATAGGATGCCCTGATTTAATTTTAATCTGAGCTCTGAGCTTCTATCTAAAAATCTCTAAAGATCTTGATACAGCTATAATGTTGGATAAATTTCATAAAGAAAAGCCCTCATGAAATATTATCCTTAGAGTATATGATATTTCCAATAGCAGCATTTTAAGATATACTATGACGAATGATCTAACATATATTCCGCAATTAAGATATCCTTAAGATATGTTCACATGGTATCCATTTATTGGTGGTAATGGAGTTCCTCTATGATTTACCCTCGACATAGAGCGAACCCCAAAAAGTGCCACATCTCAATTACTTTTTTCTGGATCATGGGCATGGATCATAAATCTAACAAATCATCTAATCGTTCAATGATGTCTTACCTTTTACCATCACACACTCGAGTAAATTTTAAGATTTTTAACACCTTTTTTAACGCCTCAAGCATTTTGCAATCGCCACAATAACACATTTCCGTCGTTCCCCTACCATTTCGCACATCTGCTACCCTGCCACGACTCCTGCCACGCATGGGGGCAACGCAATTACTTGCCGCTTTTGGATACTGCCTTTACTACGGCTACTGCTACTGTGGATACTACCATCGATCGGACCGACCGACCGCAGACATGCAAATGATGACATTGGGGGCTACTATCACAGCGCCTCGGGCACTCCAGACAACACGGTGCGAGGTCGTTATGGTTCGCGTAGTCCAGCGAGCGGCCAGATCGAAGAGACCGTCTATACGGCCGGACCACGTGGGTGAGTAAACGAAGACATGCTACACATCATAGATCGTCTACCAGGCAGATGGTAGGGGCAAAGTGCGGCAGCCGCAGCGGTAGAGCTAGTTTAAGCACAAAGTGAGTTATCTGTGTGTCTGGCCCGATCCGACCCGACCCGACCCCAGCTCATCCTCATTCATACGTATATGTAGGTGTGCATGTATGGATTTGCGGTTGGCGGCAGGCGGTGACCACTGAAGCGAAGCCCAACTGAACCGAACCCAACTCCATCTCCATCTCGAAGTCGAAGTCGAAGACAAAGCTGAAACGGTTCTAACACATTGGACTGTTTTTTTTTTTTTTGCTGTTGCCTAAACGTTTTTCCATTAGCCTGCCGCTGTTTTTGTTGTTGTGAGATGTGATTGTTTTTTGCAATCTCCGGCAAACGGGGGAAACAAAAAGCTGTTAACAAATTGACTGGCTGAAAAACAAGTAAAAACTCCCAGAGCCGAGGGATCCGACTATCTGCTACTTACATGTTGTTATTAATGATTAAGGGAAGTCTCTTTGATCTCTCTTGAAACAACACTTTTACCATTGTATGGGCAAGGATATATCCTTAATCCTCTCTCATCTGAGATATCAAGTTGCCAAACAGACAACTGGACAACTAGAACACTTCGCATGTCATTTACCTCCACAATACACCCCTTCTGCTCGAATAGAAGTACAGGGTAGTGGCAGTGCAAACAACAGATCACAGATGCTCAGCGATAGCAATGATTCTGAATGGAGCGATTCCCTGGACAGACAGACTCGAGCCCCCAGATGTGGTAATCAAAGTAATGACGTGCCACGCCATGTCCAGATTAGATCTGATTGAAATTGCAGTGCTTATGGGAGCAACAGACGGGCGATTTCAATTGGCTTCCGCTCTCCGGGTTTACCCAATCTCTCGTGCGCGGGGGGGTGGAAAAGAAGGAGGAGGAGGATCACTCATTGTAGTCGACAGCTAATTAATCTCCCGATTCTCACACAGATTTCGCGTGAATGGACCGAAGATTCATCGGAAAATGGATTTGGCCCAGTATCCGGTTCGGCCCCGGGGTAGCCTAGACGATCCCCTTGCCGACCCGTTCGATGATCCCTCGTACAGCTTCAGCTTCCGCACTCCGGACCAGTCGCGGAGCGAGGAGAATGATTCCGGAAATAGGATCAGGGGTGAGTCTTCCTTCTGATTCGAGAAGAAAAAACCAAAATCATTTCTCTCTCTTCCTCTCTGTCTTTCGTTAGGTCTCTATTCCTACCTGGATGATGTGGGTGAGCGTCATAGTGTGCGCTATGCCGCTGGAGCCGGCACTGGGTTCGAGATCTCCAATGCCGTGCCCGACAACCCCTCCAGCGTGGCCTACTCCAGTCCCCTGTACAAGGCCCCGCCCCGGACTCGCGGCAAGATGTCCGTGCAAAGGGGCCCAGCGGGTAGCTACAAGCTGATTGCCGCCGGACCGGATCACCGTCGTGCGGAGAGTCGTGCCCCGGATGGCCTGGTGCGCGGCACCTACTCCTTCCTCGACGACAAGGGCGTGCAGCGGACGGTGGAGTATATCGCAGGTGCGGGCATTGGCTATCGGGTGGTGCACAATCGCATTGGTCCGGGCACGCACATAAATCCCTCGGTGGCTGATTTCCGGCTGGCGGACACGGACTTCCGGTTGGCCAATGACTTTGGAAGGGGTGCAGGTGGGGGATTGGGTGTGGCTACTGGCAGTGCTTCCGGTGGGAGTGGCTCTGGGCCAAGTGGAGCAGGAGTGGGCGGTGGTGGTGGTGGTGGCAGAGGACGTGCTGGTAGCCGAACAGGTGCCACAGATTATCTGAAACCCAGTGGAGGAAACAGGGGAGGAGGAGGAGGAGGAGCAGGAGGCAAAGATGAGGGGGAGGCTGCCGATGGAGATGGAGCAGCGGAGAACGATCTGGGACTCGATGATAATGGTGGTGGCAATCAGGATGATGATATCGGTCTCAGCAGCGGCTCCAGTGGTTCCAGTTCTTTCCGGGGCAAAGAAGATCGTCGGGGGTATCCAGCAGGAAGCTCCCAAAGAGGCAGCACCAGATACGATGCAGAAAGAGGAGGAGGAGGAGCAGTGGGAGGCGCAGGTGGCAGAGGTGGCACGCGAACAGGCGGTGGTAGCTCAGTGGGTGGTGGTGCCACACGACAAGGAGGCGGTGCTTCCACCCGAATTAATGCCAGCGGAACAAGAAATCGGAATAGATTCAGTGGCGGTAGCTCAGAAAGAGGAGGAGGAGGTGGAGGGGGAAGCACACGAAGGGGAGGATCAGCCTCCAGTGAAGGAGACTCTAGCCTTGGCTATCTACCACCCACTGGCGGAGGAGGAGGAGGAGGAGGCACTGGCAGTGCCATCAGCGGCCCTGGCGACAACTACAACCTCAACGACGACGACGTGGGCAGCTCGCTGCCTCCTTTGGTCACTGCCAACCATCGCATCCTGGAGATCGACCGCGACCGGGAGTGGGTGCAGCGGCATCGCGACTCCACGGTGATCAAGAACGTGGGCAAGTGGTATGTGGGCTTGCCGCCGGGGCAGAGTGTGAGGGCCCATGTCCAGAACATCGACATTGTTCCGCTGGGCGGACGTGTCGGGCTGTCGCCCTCGGAGGCACTGCGGCAGGACGAGATCGCCGATCTGGCTGCCTCCAGGGAGCACTAGATATGATCATCCTCCTATTCCTCCTTGGATACTTGTAGTGCTAGTTCGTAGTGGTAGCCATAAGTGATCGAGTGATCAATCAGCGTTAAGTAACCGATAACTGGGTTGAATGCCAATGCAACCGTTCACCCTGCAATGCCTGCAACATGGAAACTGTAACAGTATTTAAAGCGGAATACATAATATATCTGTATCTGCATCTGCATCTGCATCTGTATCTGCTTCTCTGAGACTATCTATAGCTGCATTGGGTTATGCGATACCCGTGGATATTCCGATACCCTGACATAAGCAGGTTGGAGCCAAAGTCTGCGGTTTCTTTCGGCCAACATATAACCCCAGTCTCAGCCAGCTCTGGGCCTAGTTTTGCCCCGAAGTTTGCTGAAAGATGAAGTGTCATTTGCTGCTCCTCCAGCTCGGATTGTTGGGACTAGCCTGTGTGCATGGAGCCCAGGTCTACATGCAGTTCAACGGCCATGGGTACTCGTACAACACGGATATCGACAGGGCAGGCAGGAGCGTCCTGTCCCCCAAACATGGACAGGCAGCCGGTCCAATCAATTCCCTAGAGCTCTCTGGTCCCCTGCAGTTCGTGCAGCAATCGCTGAGGTACAGGGAATCCCCAACCGCCGGGAGCAGCTACAACAGCCACCCAACAGCAGACAGTGTGGCCACATCATCCCTGAGCAGAGGCTATCAAACATATCCCAGTCCCAATCTCAATCCAAGTCCCAATAGCTTCCAACAGGCCGCACCCAGCTTCGACTTCAGCACCCACCAGATGTCGCATGCCCAGCGCACCGATGAGGCGGGCAATGTCTTGGGGAAGTACTCCTACTACGACGAGGCCGGATACCACGAGTTGAGCTACAAGGCTGGCGCCGGCATTGGCTTCGTTGTCATGGGTGGCAATTTGGCCAAGGCCACCGCCGACCCGCAATCGGAAATTGGGATACAAACGAATGCCTTGAGTCCGACGTCCGCAAACTTTCAAGAATTGCACAAATATGGCACCAACACTTAAATAAATGAAACAACTTAGTCTCCTAACTGTTTCGCTCGTTCCTTCTACTCGGGGGGCCATTGAATGCATTAGAGATCGGACACATGCTAAATGTCAGCTCTGACAACTAATCGAACGTGATGGGGGAACTCAACTAAGGAAAGGCTTCAACGACAACGAAAGGCTATCTAAAGTAAACGGTAGACTTTACTTCAAATCAGTGTAGAACTGTCATAGAAGAAGGGATAGATCTTGGCAGGTATTGATCAGAGATTCGGCAAAGAAATTGGTATATGTTATCGATGTAAATGTACTTTGTAGAAATAAGAAAATGGTACTGCTAATGGTTTCTTTTTTACCTAGTATTCAAGATAGCTTGGAAACAGTTTCAATCGGAAACGGAAACTATAGCTGATCTACTACGTAGCTCTAAATTTCATTTCCGGAGAAAACTGAAACAATCTCAGTGAGAATCGTTTAAATTAGAATCAATTGAAATATTGATGCTGTTAAACATTGATTTCCCCATCGATAAAATCCGATTGGTGTCACCTTTTCGATGTCACTGATTGCTCCCGCATTCCAAATCCAAATCCAAATTTTCGTTTCCAACCAGCCACTATTTGTGTGTCTTAACTGTTTCTGGCGCGTGCTTGTGGGCCAACAACTTGTACGATTTATGCATTTTATAATGCCTAATTGATTTTCCGCTCATAAAAATGGTTCCGCTCGGTCGGACAAAGTCATTTTACAAATGGCCAGTGCATCCCAAAGGCAAATTAAGTCAACTTTTGTTTTGATTCGCTTTATTTTTGTGGGTTATTTGTTCGGCTCGCAGACGCAGCCGCAGTCTGCCGCTAAAAATTTGAAATGTTCGACGCGTGCGCGCACTTGCCAAATAATTTGAATTGAACGGAATGGAACGGAACGGAGCGGAGAGCCTTGGCGACCGCATCGTGGCCTAAATAAAATATGCTTTGAGCTCCGACAAAAGAAAAGCCCAAAACAACACGAGACAAAGTTTCATTAATAATATGCATACATATTTGCAAAAAAAAAGAAACAACAACAAAAAAAACTATAATTTAAAAAGATACTTGAAATTATTACGGTTTGGCTTGGGTTTGTTTCACAGCAGGTTTCACTGCCACAATTAAATTTGATGTCAGAGATCTGGCCGCTTAAATTTCCCTTAAACAAGTTCCTACGCACTCGCACAACTTTCTTCGGAGAATGCAGTAAAAAAGAGCTGACAGAAATGTACTTGCCAGTGACATAGATCTTGGTTTAGGGCTAAAAGAGCTCTCTCTCTCTGTCCCTGTCTACCTATCTACTACACGTTCTCAGAGCCACTATCAATGCCTGTCTCTAACCTGGGAACCAGCCTAAAAACAGAGGCCGCTGCTGCATAATTGGGTTAGCATTACAGAAGAACAAAACCGAACCGAACCGAACAGAACCGAAAAGAACAGAACCAGTGCGGGGACCGCAGCTGGCAATTTATTCTGGCTATGGATCTGAGATCTCCCAGGCGCTGTTTCCCAGTTAGCGGTTATAAACAACGGTTTGAGCCTCCTCCTGCTGCCTGCTGCCTCTCTCCCTCTCTACCTCTCGCCGAAGGTCAGATTTAATTGGCCCCTGGGCACAGGGCCATGCCATGCCAAGCCAAGCCGAGCCATGCCTAGGCAACGACATCCCATCCCACTCTCAGTCCCGTTTGCATGCATTTATAAATAGGTCTCAAGGTCTCTTTCCCCCAGCAATGCGGCTCTTCAGCTCTTCAGCTCTGAGCTCTCCTGCCCCAGTGGAGCTCTTCTTTCCGTTCAGGTGCTGTTGTTGCATCGATTTATCGCCTTTTGATTGCTGCATTCCAATTGGGGGATTGGGGGGAGTACGGAGTGCGGAGTCGACTGGCGAGTGTGCGTGTGGGGCATTTGAGTTTACACAGCGATTGCTGCTAATTTTGTATGCTCCCCACCGGCGCTGGGGTGTTCGAAACCATAAATCTTGTGGCAATTTTATTGATGTCTGCGTGTGCCACAAAAGGTCGACAGCACTGTAGCCGGCCCCACCTCCCTGGTGATCCTGGTTAATCAAGAAATATGTATGATTATTGCCTGCACACTCGGGTTACCCCGGCATTGTTGTGCCACCAATTGGGAATCGGAAGCCGGCACTTTAGCTGCGGGCAATCCTGCGAACACAAGAAAACCAGGCCCCATAAAATTATAAAATGCATTCTGTTGCGTCTGTGGGATATGTGTCAGCTGGGGGCGTGGCTGTGTCTCTGCGCAGATAATGAGAAAATGGATGGTTCCGCCAGGCTAATAAAGACTTATGACAGCCAAAGGCGACGGCGACGGCAACGGCAATGGCAAATATACGAAAAGAATTTCAATTATCAATCGGAATCGGGGTTTTTTTTTCCAATTTATGCTTACAGATCAGAGCTTGGGGCTAATCCAGACAGCTGGTGTTACCCGAGAAGTGTGTGAGCAAGCCCCCAAAATCTTGTCTCCATTCTGTGGAAAGAACTTTCTAACGAGTGCTCCAATCAAACATTTTAATTGAATTACCCAACAACACGCACGACTCGAGACTGTCATTCATGGGAGCATGGCATGGGCAGGGGGGGGGGGTCTTAAGTCTTTTACAATTTAAGCTTATGTCATGTTTTGGAGCTCCGTTCGGTTCGGTTTCGAGCCGCTTACCTGTCCACTTCCCACACACTCCACGGTTCTCGATTCTCGATTCTCGATGCTCACTCTACTTGTAATGGTCACCTCCCCTCGCCTCCTCTTCAATCATCGACCAATAAACGGCCAATTAATCAACGTCAGATGTGAAGTTGAGGATGATTCGGATGTTAGATGGAACGGTAGCACCATGTCGAAGGCGAAGACCCTGTCAGCGACCTAACAAGTTTCAATCGAAACGAAAAGTGCCTGGAAACACACTCGTAGTAGCCTCGTGAATGAGTCCAGTGAAGAGATCTCAATCTGCACAAGCCTAGCCCAGACTTTGATCCATGAATATCAATGTGGATCGGGCCAGAAAAACCCTTCCAGCCAGGAGATTTGCCCAGCCCGATAAGTGTTCAGCCCAAGGCGCTCGTTTACGTGACTGTGTCTCCGATCGATTGTTTCTCTTAGCGGGCAAGTTCTCTTTTTCGTTTCTTGGGGCTCTCTTACACCTGCTGGGGCCCTGTTTCGTTGGCCATTTCTTTGCCCGTCAACGTTGCTGTCGCTGTCGCTGTGGCTGCGGCTGCGGCTTTGGCTGCGGCTGTCGCTGGGGCTTGGCTAATGGAAATGTTATAAACAGAGGCGATGGCCCCGGCCACGATTCAGTTCATCTTCAGTCGTCGTCTGGCCCGCTTGGTTCTACTGCCCAGAGAAGGAGGTGTGTGTTTTTGTCTTGTGTGTCTGTGCCATTCGGCCTTCGTGCGTGGTGTTCCTTGAGTCTGGAAAAAAAAGAAACAATCGTAAATTAAAAGCTCCGCAGGATAGCCCTTTTTTTTGTATCCGTGTGTGTGTGTGTGTGTGTCGCAGCCTCTGTCTCATTTTTTGTTGTTGTTCCTGCTGATATTTCCGCGTGATAACCCAGAGTGCCATTCCTTTCGCTTCTCTTTCGCAGTTCAAGGATACCGCCGACACAGTCAAGGCCCGTTAAAATCGCAATATAAATCCAGAACTTGGCATCAAAATGCATGTCTTTGTGGTAAGTAATTTTCGCAGGGAAATTCCCTCGTAAAACGAAACTAGTTTAGTGCGGTCTGCAATAAATCATTTATTGCTGAACTCTTAGCTGACTCTTGGCTCTGGCTCTTTATGTTTAAGTGGCCCAAGTTCGTGCCTTGAGTCTTTCGTTTCTTTCACTTCCCGGAATGAACTTTCACTAAGCGACAGTTTTGGCAACAATCTTGAGAGGTTCTCGCCTCAATTCTGGGCTCTTTCTAGCCAAGGAAATTAGCCTTAATTATGCTCTGTGCCATATGCAAATATTATACGAGTGTCTCTGTGGTTCTTGGCCATATTTGTGGGGCATTTTAATAATCAGAAATCAATTTGAATGCCCACCAAAACTTTTCTAACTCCAAAAACGAAAGAATATTTTTCAGAACCAAATAACTTTACCTACAAGTATTGTATTTTATTTAATCCCCTTCTCTAAAAGTGAAAACCCTTTTGTACAGTCCATACACTCCACTCGGACGTGACAGAATTCTGACTCCACCCCGAATTGAAAAGTGAAAAGTGATTCACTTCATTCCTCCGACCAAAATCAGATTATCCCTTGCATTATTCATATTCCTATTCAAAATTAAAATACAAATAAAGATAAAGATACATATATACACGCCCTTTAAAGCAAAAATGCGTCAGTGTCGCGTCCGTTCCCTGAAAAAAAAAGAATGAATTTAATGTGTAACCAAATGGTACACCATAATTTCCAATGAAAAGCCCAAAAATCAATAAAATCAATATGCCAGAGACGTAAGAAAATCATGCGTGGGCTAACAAATGGCAATTAAAAGTCCCATCCCATAAAAAATTATGATATTCCAGAGGGAAGAACAATCGACCACACTTGTGTGTGGTTTATGGTGTGTGGGAGAACCCAAGTGCCGTATATAATATATTAGAAGTGCATTGAATTGGCTGATATCTGGTCGAAGACTCTCTCCATCCCACACTCCACACTTCTGTCTCCAAGCTCCATCAATCTCTCACCAATTGACTCCATCAGTGTCTCCTCCAGAATATCATTTCACATTTAAGTGATATCAGAGAACCGATGAAGAACAAGAGCCACAGCCAGAGCCAGAGCCAGACCCATTTACGAGTATATCTTGTTTGAGAACATAAAATGCTGCGCGTAAACTTTGCATTCGAGACATTAACCCAGTTTATTTTTGGACGGAACACGGAACACACCCAACCTTACCGTATACCGGGGTCGTTACCGAGGGCCAATATAATAAATAAGCCAGCACAAAAGAAAGCAGACAGACTGATGGACAGAAATACATCTTGGGTTTCGGGGCTAAGAAGTGCAAGAGATCTTGCAAATCAATGATTGCTTTGGATCGGATCGGAGCGGTCAGGTTCGACAGCCACAGCCCCCCTTCCAACATCCAGCATCCAGCATCGGGCGCTGTTTCAAGTTACGTTTCGGCCCCGAATCGTAACAGACGCCGCCTAGAGGTTCAGGTCAATGACACAACACGAGTCCCAACTTCAGATACAGCCGCAGCCGCAGCTTCATCTACAGCTGAGGCTGGAGCTGGATCTGGCTCTTGGCTTTCGGGCTTCGAGTTCTTCAGCTTAGTGACATTTCTGTTTTGATAGATGGGCGTGCGATGCTAACGGTCGCGTCGCCCAAGAAGATTGCGTCAATATTGACTTTGCCAAATCTTTCACTCGCACGGGTACGGGTACGGGTATGGGTACGGGTGAGAGAGAAGAGATGAAGAGAGTTCTATGCTGGCAGAGAGTGTGTGGTGTGTGCGAAGCGGGAGGCAAATATTTGCTGAGCGTGAGGCTCTTGACAATCGTGTTGAGGGGGAAAAGCTGAAAAGTACGAGTACTTCAATCCTCAGATGGGACTGCGGCTGCGGCTCTCACTTTTCGGTCCGGCTTGAGCCACAGCTTGAAAGAAATTATGCAAATGCCCTGTGACAGCTGAGAGAGAGAGAGGGAGAGAACGGAGCTGAGAGCGGAGAATGAAAGACTTTCGCGAGACACTTGACCGCATTCTTGTGGCCATTACGACATCGGAATACCCAAAGACCCAAGATTGAGTCCTCCACTAGAATAGAACAGAACAGAACGAAATAGAACCTGGCAAAAAGAACCCACTCGCATTATCATAACCACTTGGCTAACACATACACGCATCTATCTTGCAGCTGTCAACGCTTCTGCTGGCCTCCTTGGCCGCCAGCCAGACCACACTGGATGCCAGTGGCGCAGCCGTCGAGTAAGTAGTACCCCCGATTCCTAAGACTCAGACTAAGACTAAGACCCTATTAACACCAAAATATGCCGTGCCTGACTCTCTGCCTGGGCCTGTGACCGGGTCAGCTGTGTGCTAATAATGCTCATCCCAAGTAGAAGTTGATGCTCTCTCGCTCAGATCGTAGAATTTGTGACTAAACTAAACCCGAGGCCTGCAGAATTGTGACTAAACAGATATCATAATCGCTAACCCAAATCATTGCCTTGCCATCCCAGAACCCCCACCAACACCACCACCCCCTCCATACCATGCATTAGAGATTAGAGATTAGAAACGAAAGCCAAATGCCATGAGAGACCACCAACAAAATACCTAACTTTCGTTTGCAGAATCCAGAAGCAGAGGCTGATCAAATTTCCCGAGGAGTTTGATCCCAATGTGGCACCTCCGACCGTCGAGAAGGCGGACGAGGCCAAGCGCATCCTCGAGCAGATCGCTCGCGTGAACGAAGCCTTTGGCTACGTGAAGAAGCAGCCGGAACAAAAGAAGCTGCCGCCCATACTCGACTCCAGCCAGTATCTGTTCCCCAAGCCCGCCTACCAGCCGTTCCACGCCCAGCAGCACCACTTCGCCGGCAGCCACGGCCAGACCCTGCTCGAGCCCTCGATCCGTGCCGTAAAACTGACCCGGAACGTGGCAGGATCCAGCTACAATCTGCCTCCAAGGCTGCGCAAGGGAACTCCCGCCCCGGCCAGCGAGGAGAAGAAGTCGCAGCTGTATTTCCGACCCAACCAGGTGGAACTACCGAAGCCCTTGACGGAACAGGAGGCCCAGCAACTGCCGGCCCACTTTGCCATCCCCGTGCACCTGTACAAACTCAACAAGGAGCAGTACCTGCGGGAGCATGCCGCCCAGGAGTACCGCGTCAAGGGCTACAAGATCATCGGCGACGTGGACAGCTTCTATGGCAAGGCCAAGTCGGGCAGGAAGCAGGGAAAGACCACTCCCAAGTACCATCTGTTCTTCCTGCCCAGAGAGCTGGCTCTGAACGAGGATGGCACACCGAAGAGGGGCAATTCGACGAGTATCACATCCACCAAAGCCCCTGCTGCTCCCCAGGGATTCAAGGACTTCCGTCTGGACTCCCGCGAGAAGCCTTCGCACAAGCCGCACAAGATGCAGACGACTGTGTCACCCGATTCGAATAACCTGAACTCTGGGAGTCGCAAGCGCACGAGCTCTACGGTAAAACCAGTACGCGGAAGCGGATCCATGAACGGAAAGGAGGCGGAACAGCTCTTGCCCACCATTTCCACGACTTCAGCTCCCGTCCATCTCTCGACGCTGCCTCCTTCCGGCGGACTCCTGCCCAATCGCAATCGTCTGAATCCCTTCCGCATGCCCGGCATGAATCTCTCCGATATGCAGAACCAGACGTCGTCGGCCATCAAGAATGCCTTCCAGAATATATTCAAGATGCCCTTCCGTCAGGTCGGAGCTCTGTCCGGCGCCCAGCCCGTCATCATGGGCAGCATCCCGCAGAAGCATCAGGTGTCCAGTGATTCCCAGGACTACAAGTGGGATGACGAGAAGGAGGGCGGCGGCGATGGGGATGGCGATCTAAATGGAAATACCGAGGATCTGGAGAACACGGCTGCGGAGCAGGACAGCAGCGCGTCCTCCGAGAAGCACCTCTTCGCGCACAAGACCCGCCCCGGGGGTCTGATGCACACCATCGGCCATGTGGCCACCGCCCAGCAGACCACCCAGAAGCAGGCGCTGCGCGAGGGCGGCATTATTATCCAGCGGCTGAAGGTGCGCAAGGGCGGCATCGCGATTGCTGGTCCAGGAGGCGTGGCCACAGCCGGAAGCGGCGGAACGGCCATTGTGGGCCCCGGTGGCTATGCCCTGACGCATCCGCGCAGCCTGACGATAGCCGGTCCCGGCGCCAAGGTGATTTCCATACCCGCGAACGTGGACCTGCAGGACGCTCTGGCACGCACCGACCTGCAGGCGAGGAGTTTTCCGCGCGAGGGCAAGGTGGTGGCCACCGGGCCGACGGTGTACTATGCCCCGCCCACGGGCACGACGGAGGAGGAGGTGGCGGAGGCGGAGGCGGACGCGGAGGAGGAGCAGGAGCAGGAAATGATGTTTGAGTCTGAGGCTTAACTTTTGCTTTAGTTTGCGTTTTAGTTAGGTTTCATTTTAGTTGGTACTCGCTAGTATTTTAATAAATGTTTGTATTTCGTAAATGTTTGTGCTTTGCTTTCATCGTGTACACATATCGCCCCAACCCCCCCTTTCCCCGTACTATCTAGTAGCATATACATATATCCGCACTGCTAATCCCCATACCCCTGCATGACCCTCTCACCTACTAACCCTCGAAATTGTTGCTGTAAATATTTAATTACTAACCGGCTGCTGCCTCTCTCTCCCCCACTTGCCTATCCCTACAATATCCTAATCCTCAAAGTGCGTACGGGTATTGGCGCACCGCGTCCTTCGAGGCCTGGCCGCCACGCAGTCAACCGCTTGGCAACACCAACTCCAACCCCGGCATTGCCCTACTGGGACAACAGTCCGCGAAGCTGATCGAGAAGGATAATCAGCTGACGCCCTATGGGGCCTTCCAGCCTGCTTTTATCTACAACGCCCCCTATTACGCGGCGTACAACCTGCCACTGGCATATGTGCTGCAACCCACCACACCTGCAGCACCTGTCACAGCCGATGCAACAACCACTACAACCACCACGATCAGGCCCGAAAGCTCAGCCGAAGAAATTGAAAAGCCAGAAAAGCTGCAAGCACTGCCACAGCCACAAGCCGAGACACAATCCAATGGCGATCTGAAGAGTGATTCGGGTCTCCGCTCAGCGGTGAGCAAAATCAATCCCAACTACGTGATCGAGGAGATTCTGGCCATTCCCGGCAAGCATGTCATCTCCACTGCCACCTCTGCCAGGCAGCAGCTGCGGAAGAACGCCTCGGGACCAGCGAAACTGCGGAAGGCATCGGCAAGCGGCAAGCGAGTGCCCGTCAAGGTGGAGGCCACGGGGAAGACCAGCACCAGTTCGGGCAACATTCCGCAGATTCAGTTCGGGAACTACTTCCTGCCCTACCAGCCGCTCCAGGCCCAGGCCATACAGGGACGCAAGCAGGCGGCACTGATCCTCGAACCCCACTCCAGGGCTGTGGTGGGCAACGGCGGCACGGCCATTTCCACTCCCATCTCGAAGGCGTATCTGAAGAAGGGCGTGCCCACCAACGTGTACTTCAATCCGGATTCGGTGGCCATAGCCGGTGTGGGGGGCAAGGCACATGCGACGGCGGACTTGGAGCTGGATCTGTTCAACTGAGGCGGAAAGGACCGAAGAAGATCCCGATGATGCTACCCATGATTACGATGTCTATGTGTTTGGTTATGTGTTCCTATGTTAAGAACAGAGGCCCGAAAATTGTGTCATTTCCCTAGTCTGTAAATAAAGTAAACCCTAAACTGTACAGCTTCCGCTTTGGTCACTGGCCACTGGCCATCGAGTAGTCCGCTAATCTTGTGTAGATACTGTATATCCAACGCTTCTGTCTATCTCACGCTTTCTCCCTCCAACGCACAGCTCCCAGGCATCCCTCCATTTCCCTCTCCCCACTATACAGCTCACACACCCACAAACACACACACACACACTCTCTATAACCGACTATATAACCCCCCAAAAGCAGACACAGATCGGGAGACGCTCGCCGGATCTACGAGGAGCATCCCTACTACGGCGGCCTGCGGGGCCAACTCCTGCAGCTGCGTCCCCAGCGGGATGGCAGTCTCGGGAGCTACATCCTGCAGCGCCAGCAGCCGCAGCCACAGCTGAGGGCTGTTCCCCGCGAAGCGGATGACACCATCACCATCTCGGCGGCCAGCATCACGGCCACCGCCGATGGCAGCGGCTCAAGCTCCTCCAGCAGCTCGATCTCGGCCAGCGCCAGTGACTTTAACAGAATCCAGCTGGCAGCCGCCCGTCTAGTGGCCATTCAGGAGATGGCCAAGCGGAAGGGATCCTTCAGCGCAGAGGACAATCAGATCTATGCCAGCAGTCTCCTAGAACTAGGACAGGCCGCCCAGAGCCTGGCTCTCCTGCAGCAGACGGGCCAGATCAAGGACTTCAGTGTGCTCCTGCAGCCGGAGCTGTTTGCCATCCCACAGAAGCAGCCATCCAACTTTGGCCTGGAGGCCGGCAACAATCCAGCAGACCAAAAGATCGATGAACAGAAGCTGGACGAGGTCACGGAGCAGCAGTTCTCGCCCGACGATTTCCTGCCGCCCAACAGCGAGGATCCCTACGAGGATGTCAACGACAGTGTCTCCGTAATGGCCCCCAAGAAGGATGCGGCCGTGGCCGAGGCCAAGCCAGTGGGTATGTGGTGCTGACAGAGTAACCTGAAGCGAAAAGACAGAATCCTGAACGTTGACTCCTTCCAGGTCTATCCATTGCCGGCGAGGGTGGTGTGGCCTCCTCCAAGCCCAATGCCGTGGCACTCTCCGGTCGGAATGGCCTGGCTGTGGCCTCCCCCAAGGCCACTGCCATTGCTGGCGTCTCACCCGAAGAGGCTGCTGCCTTCAGCATCTCCCTGCCGACCCGCAACCAGCTGGTGATCAAAACTCCCAACTCTGCCGCCGAAAAGGCCAGCGATGACTACGACTACAATGATGGGCCTCTGACCGTCGCCCGTTTCCCCCTGACCCGGGAGACGCCGCTTGTTCCGGTTCGCATCTCCGGCGCCGACTCGCTGGTGGACAAATGGCGCACAGCCATTGCCGAGGATTACGCCGCCCGTCAGGCCCAGGCCCAGGCCCAGGTCTTGGCAGCCATGGGCCATGGCGCGTCCAAACCCATCGTTCGCACGGCCCCCAAGCGTCGTCTGCACTACGAATAGAGGAGGTCACTCCGTCGTCATCGTCTTTCGCATGGGATTTCTAGTATACGTTGTACAACATTTTGTGTGCCAGCTTCCGAATTGCCAATAAAATATCTCTATTTAATTAACATAATTTGCATTGTTTTTTTGTTGGGGATTTGGAATGGAATTTGGGAATTTAAATGGAAAGGAGGGGAGGACAAAGATGGACCCTGGAAGTGAAACTTGGCAGATCCAACAGGGCCCTCATGATAGCTCGGAGCGTATCCATCTTTGGCTCCGCTAAAGTTTTTTGTAAATTCATTTTAGCACTCAACGGAAAATTCAAGGTATAAACTTATAATCAGTTGAAGCGCGAAGTTTTTCTTGTGGCTCCATTTCCATGATAGCCCAAAAGTGCAAAATCGAGGCACTAAGAAGTGCAAGAACATGAGCATGAGGGATCAGCGATAGTAGAGCCATACACCGACAGGTAGGCCAGAGCGAGAGAGAAAAAGCCGGGGAGAGAAGAAGATGAGCCAACGAAGACAGAGGACAGCAGATAGTTTACAGTGATTCCGTTCGGGGGAGTAAGCGAGAGAAAGCAACGCTTACCATCGACTTTTGGAGCAGAGAAGAAGGAGTCGCTGTGCGAGATCAGGAGAACAGAGTGGTCTAGGGTTAAATTATATTAGAAGAATGCATCGATAATCTAAAAGCGCAAAGAATAAAGTTTTGGTCGCCTAACTTTACCCTATTCCCACCCATATCATAAAACATACCCACACCATGCAGCAACCATCCAGTAAACGACGGTGGGTCCCAGTATAGTTTTATCAACTATTTTAATTCAGCATTTATTTGCATAATATACATATGTATATGTTTTTTACACATTAATATTCCCTCGGCATTTCTTTGATTATCGTGATAATTACTTGAAATGGGAATTACAGGAGCCATGACAGTGTCGTCTGTAAAAAGTGGCACGGTCCAGAGAGCTAACGTTAGCTACGCCAAACGAAAACACGAGTTTACTGCTTTGCAGAAGAGTAACTTAAACACAAATAAAATTCCCCCATATTTTCCCCTGTTTTTAGAAATTTGTTTTTAAATTCGAAGCTAAATATATTTTTTGCCGAATACTCGTTTGTGGGCTTAAATGTTTGTAATTCATGTTTGCACTTTTTGAGCACTTATATTATGTTTAATTTTACGTTTAATAAATAATTGTATAACTTTTGGCTTTAATACTGTCTTTTGATCTCCCATTCGAAGTCCCTGTGGCTCTCTCCTGCCTAAAAAGGGATCATGGCAAGGGCAATATTCCTTTGGGATATCATGGAGTGCTGGTCCCTCAGAGTATAGACAGTCATAGGTCTTATGTCTTGACTTTCTGCACGATAAATTGAAAATAAAGCAAATTAAGGGCCCCGTGCCGACGAGCCAGTAGCCGGAAATAGTACGTGCTGGTCATAGCTGAATAGTACCAACCCGCCTGAATACTCGTCATCCATTAGTCCAGTAGTCTATAAATATAAACAAATACATGGATGCATGTGTAGAAATTGTATATTCTTCTATCCCCATCCCATCCTAATAGGCGATCAAAAGCCGATCTGAGATACACCCGAGATCACCTGGAGGGACAGCGACAGAGACAGCGACAGCGACAAGGAATACGCATCTAATTGCTGCGGGAAGTGATTATAGTTTATAGCGAGAATAAATTGACTTCCACCCAGCGCGCTGCAGCGAAAAGAAAATCTGAGCCGCACTGAATGCAAGCATTTGCAAATCTTGATTAATCTTTTCCGCCAATGCAGGCAACATGAAAATAAATTATCTAAATGGTAGGGGAAGATGAAGATCCCGAGGAGATGCAGCCAGTCCGAGAGGAACGCATTCAATTTGCACCTGAACCAGTTTCCAGTCTCCAGACCCCAGTCCCCAGTCCCCAGTTGGCCATCTCTTGGGCTTGGCCTGTCAATGCGGCTTCAATGCAATCGCCATCGCCATCCCCTGGCCATGCTTGACTTCTATTACGCGGCAGGTTTAACAAACTTCAGAGCTTCAGAACTTGCCCGAGACACTGCGCCTGAGACAGAGACTGAGACAGAGACTGAGGCAGAGAAGGAGGAGACACAGACCAGTGCCACGATCAAGACCGAGACGAACCACATCTACGTTGACCATCTGCCATCTGCAGAACCAGCAGAGAACCTGAAACCAGAAAAAGAAGTGGAAGTACGAGTACAAGTACCAGTACCAGTAGATATAGAGGCAGGTCTCCCCTTCTACTAGTCGCTGCTGCTATTACGAGTATTATTGTTGCTTAGCCAGCTTTGGCTTTGGCTCCTTTTGGCCATCAACTGCCGCCATTCGGCCTCTCATCCCCCTCCCTCGCCGCCTGTTTTCCTGCGGGAAGCTGCAGATTTCCAGCTCTTCTGGTTAGGTTCAGGTTCTGGTTCTTTGTTCTTGGGCTAGGTCAGTCCGTGGGGCCTCTGGCCACGGCCGTTGCTGCGCTCATTATAAAAGGCCATGGCCAGGCAGCATTGGCCACCAGTTTCCTTGAAGTGGTCGCCGTGCTAAGACTGAAGACTGAACCCGAAGACTGCCCAGCCCTACCGCAACCAGCAACCAGCAATCATTGCAATCATTGTGCCAGCTCGCAGCAGAAGTACATACCTCTAGAAGTATCTCCGCCAGTGGATCGCGTATTGTGTGTCCATTAAAGTGCTCTGTGTCTCTCGCATTACCTGCCTAGATTCGGGAAAGTAGTGAAAGGCCATCAAACGCCGACTGAAAGGTAAGTTCTGCCATCCAACCCGATTGGGGTTATCCTATTCACATTCATGCTTCGAGAAAGTTATTTCTAGGCATAGTTCTGATATACGCGTTGGCTTTTTTTTCGTTTTTTTGTTTTTGTTTTCTGAGCACTTAAGACGGTTTTATGGGGTCGCAGAGAAGTGCTTGGTTAAGCTGGGATTGAGCTATTAATTTGTGATATATATTTTTTTTTAATTATGTGAAAAGTTACTTTGTTTTTATATACCTACCGATTTGGTGAACAGAGAAATAAAAAAGTGACTAGAATCTTCGGAAAAATTCCATCAATACCGATGAAGGTATACAACTTTATAGAGAGAAGTGGATTTGGTTTTTTTTATGAGTATATAGTGGTTAAAAAAGGCAAAAGACCTTCCATGTTCTTTACTTAGAGCCTTTTTTGTGTGTTTTAATGAATACGAAATATCACAATTAACATTGTACGAGGGCCGCCTTTAAAAGTTTGTAATTTGTTGGCCAAATTATGCCTAGAATTTTTGTTTCTACGGGCGCTTTTTATATCATTTAACGATATACGAATAATATATCTTTGAAAAAATGTGAACCTACCACATGAACACATTTTCAATGTGGATTTTCCAGACAAAAATGCTTCGATCGACTTGGTTCGACTTTTGTCTATAAATCACCTTGCATTGTCACTGCGAAAAACTATAAGACGAATTCAGAAGTGTCCGTCTGTCGCTGCAGAACGAATCTCGTGAGGGTCGTCCCTGCGGCATTGGCTATTGCAATGTTATCATATGACATACCAAAAGGTAGAGGCATCTTTGAGCATTAACGGGACGAAGATTCATTCAACATGGCATGAACAGTTGGCCATCAAGAAGAATTTATTTTCGTGAGATACAGCATAATTTGACAAAAGAAAACCACTCGCTTCAGAGGAGTGGAAAAAGTGCTTTGAAGAATGATTTCAGCGGGTGCAAAAGTGTATCCACCCATTGTTGGGAATTATTTTCAACGAATCGCTATTAGGCTACGGATTTCAAAGGCTGTCACAACGTGTTACATTCCCCTAGAGCCAAAGCACAAAATCTACTAAGAATTTTGATTTTGAATTGAAGATTTGAATAAACTCCTAAAAAAGTCTCAAAAGAAGTTTAAATTGTACAGAAAATATGAAAAAGAAAAGGCATTAATATGAGAAATTTATAGAAGAATAAAGGCATATGAGAATCGAATGCGTTTGATGCTAAAAGTTACAGTCGGGCAGTATTTTCTTCCCACAAACTCCACTCCAAACGAAAGACTTAGGCAACGAACTTGCCCAGCACTTGGCCTGCACAAAGAACTCTCTTTGGGGGCGCTCTTTGAGGACAGTGGGGGGTAGGGGGAGATTTAAGCCATAAAGCTGCTTCTGGTCATTAGTTTGTATCTACACTAGAAGTGTAGGATCGGCAGGCAGATCCAGATCCCTTCCCTTGCCTTCACTACCCCTTCCCCCATTCGATCCGATCCGATCCCGAGCAGGCCAATCAATTGCAAACCGGTTAATAGTCACTCGATCCATGTACGGACTCCGTGGTGCATCCTGTCGGACGAGGCTACATGCAACATGCAATTACACACACAAGCACACACATGCAAAAATAGCTTTAAATTTAGAATGGACTTTGGTGGATCGCACTGGGAGTGGGAGGAGGAGGTGGAGGAGGAGGTGGAGGAGGAGGTGGAGGAGGAGGTGGAGGAGGAGGTGGAGGAGGAGGTGGAGGAGGAGGTGGAGGAGGAGGAGGAGGAGGAGTGGCTTTAGTTGCATCTAAAAATAGACCAGTGGCTAGACCAGTTTGCAGCAGTTGGAGGAGTTGATTGGAGGAGGAGGAGGAGTGCAGAACTTAGATCCAATGCATAGCAATGCTCAGCCCCCTTTCCGTTCCGTTCCCCTTTGCAGAATTGCAGAATGTTCCTCCTCGCACTGTTCTGCCTGGCCCTGGCAGCGATGGGCGGCCAGGCCAAGCCCTACGAGCCGACGGCCCAGCACATTGTGATCGTGACCCCGCAGGCCCAGGTGCACCTGGAGCCGACTCTGCGCTACGTCCACGGACTGTCCCCGCTGGCCCGTGTGGCCACCCCCCATCACGAGGAGACCATTGTGTATGTGCCGGCCGGAGCAGCCGCCTCGGTGGTTCCAGTGCTGGACGCTGTGGGATCGGGACGCGCCGGTGGCCTGGAGGGCAAGCAGTTTGAGGGCGTGCAGGAGACTTCGAATCAGATCCAGCAGCAGGTGTCGCAGGGCGTGGAGATCGTCTCCGGACAGATCGGAGAGGCTGCCGCAGCCGCCGCCTCCGCCGGAGCAGGCTTCTTCCCAGCCCTCTTCCCCGGGGGCTCCAAGAAGGAGGAACTGATCGAGACGCCAGCCAACACCCAGCCCCTGATTGCCGCCGAGGCCCGTCACTTCTACAGCCTGCCCCAGGTGTACCACACACATCCTGTGGTCGATGTGGTCCACGGTCCCGTCTACTCCTGGCCCATTTCCTCCATCCGGGCCCGCAGCATCCAGCAGGAACCGGAAGCCGAGCCCGGCCTGAAGCTGGCACTGACTGCAGAGCCCGCACTCGAGGGAGAGCCGCAAGTTAAGGCTGAACCGGAACCTAAGGCCGAGCGTGAAGTTAAAGCAGAGTCGGAACTCAAGAAAGAGCAGGAAGTTAAGGCGGTGCCTTTTCTTAAATCAGAGTCGGAGCTCAAAGCAGTGCCCGAGCTCAAGGCAGAGCCAGAGCTGAAGAAGGAGACATTGCCGGTGCTGCCTCTGCTGAAGGAGCAGCCACTGGAGCCACAGCCACTGGCACAGCCACAGCCACAGCCAATCATCGCCGAGCCCCAGGTGACAAAGGCCGAATTCGCTGGACGCCTGCTGGAGAGCAACGCCATTAAGCAGGAGCTGCAGAGCGCTGAAATCTCCAAGGAGCAGATCAAGGAAGAACGTGAGTATAGAGATGTGCCTTTCTTTTCACAAAACAAAAACTGAAGACAATTTCCTCCTCGCAGCGGTCAAGGCACTGCCAGAGGAACCGCTGATCAAGGCCATTCCCGCCGAGTCAATCCAGCAGCCTACCCAGCAGCAGCCGATCCTACAGTCAGAGCCCGCCGATAGCATTGCCATTGCCAATCCCATTGTGCCACAGGCCTAGGCGGCCGACCCACAACCCAGACGCAAAACGCAAAACGCATCTCTGAATCTTACTCCTCCTATGGGCAGCTTTGGTTCTTCGACTGATTCTCATCGCAAGCCCGGCTTGGACAAGCCTGGGCAGGGGGTTTTCCCACCATCAACCATCCACACACCGCACCCACATCCGTACATTTAATTACTAACACACCGAACACGCATCGGATCGCATCGCATCGCATCGCATCGCACATAGTTTTCCATTTTCCAGCCATTAATTAACAGCAGCGAAACGGGAAAGAGACATTCATTCTTAATTATCATCACGAAAAGTTCGTATTCATCATCATCATCATTACATATTCATTAACCATAACATTGAAAAAGTAAAACAGAACAATAAAAAAGTGAATGTAAAATGTAAAAGAAGGTGGATAAAGAGAGAGATGGGTGGGACTTGTGGAACTTAGGGTAAAGATTACAGCTAATCTTGCTGGATCTTCATCCTCAGCTACAGCCCCATCTGTGAATAGTCTAGGGCGCTGCCAGGGCTTAAAAAATTCCATTGAATTCAGTTCAAAACTTTAGAGATTGTGCAATGACAATGACCCTCAGCGGTTGCTTCTTGCGCAGTTCGCCAAATTCCCCGGCAGCATAGAAATATTGCACATATTACACGGGGAAGCCCGATCCGCAGCACTGCATACAAAACACTCACGGAACGTGCCCAAACGTAGGCAAATCAGGGCTGGGAGCGCAGTCTTGGGGAACGGCATTTTATTGGCTTAGAGCTAGGGACATAAATATGAAATAAATAGTGTATTCCGAGGGGGCTCTCCCTGATTTGGTCTAGTCGGCGCCCTCGCCCACTGTAATGTAGGCATCCTGCTCCCCAATGGCTATCAGATCATCCTCGTCGCCGCCAGTCCGCACGGTGGTGACACCCAGATCCGCATCTATGGCTTCCTTGGTGGGAGCCTCGTCTCTGCGCACCGGCTGACTGGTGTCCGTGTAGCGGTAGACGGAGAAGTAGGTCTGGATGCGCTGGATGATGTTCTCCAGCAGAGGGGGGAACTTATGCTCCACTCCGTCGCCGTAGATCCTGATGTTGAGCTCGCTCCCGCCATGGGAGTGGTGGTTGTCTTGCTTGATGGCCTGCAGGACTCCACGCAGCAGAAGTAGGTTCTGCCGATTGCTGCCGCTCTGGCCTGGGCCCCGTCTCAGTATCAGGGAACCATTTGGCTTGAGCTCCAGATAGCCAAACTTTTCCGTATCCAAGGGAAAGGGCTTATCGTCCCCACTGCCCTTTTCGATGAGAGTCAGCGGCAGAATGGCCGCCTGCAGGGCGGAGGAGAGGAGCACCCAGCCCATGGCCATGGGAATCAGCTGCATCATCTCTGAAGTGGTAAAACTGTGAAGTGGAGACCCTGGAGACCCGCTCTGGCAGTCGCCTGTCGTTGCACTAATTTCGGCTTCGAACTGGCCAACGAACTTATTCCAACTGCTGCGCTTCTTTTTTATCAATTTAACATTTTTTGTGCCTCTTTTGCTGAGCCCTGAGTGTAATTGAACGCTGTTTGTATTTACCTTTGCGCGGCCCGTTTAAGCGGCTGGCACTTGGCCAGGCCAGCAACGTGAGACGTGCCGTGCCCCGCTCTCTCGCTGCGCTTTGGCTTTGGCTTTGAGTCGTTTGCGATGTTTGAGTTACTGATTTGCATTTATTTGTCAATTTTCTGTTATATTTTTCTCCGGCTGGCCCCAAAAAGCCACGCATTTCGCCAATATTCAATACTCGATCACGGCGTGCAGTGAAAGTGTTATATTCCCTAGAGAATTTAGCTGCTCTTTAAAAGGGTTTTGAATAGCTACAATATCAAGAAGTGTAGCACAGGCAAAGTACCTGAAAAGGAATCTCTTTTAATGATTACAAAATGTTACCCTTATTTATAGGAAATACAGATTGGCTTTTTCAAAAATGTTTAAGAGGGTAACGCCACCCTGAAATTTTGCAAAAATTGTCCCCCTTATTTGGAAGACTATGTTCTTACGATCATTTCAAGACGTCGACTTTAAAAATATCTCATTCAATACAACAGTTACGGTCATTAGAAGAGAGCGATGCAGGGAGACTCAAAGTATTTTTTTTGAAAACACACTATTCGGAGCTTTGTACATGTTTCTCCAGAAACTACTACATTCTACATGAAACATCCACAGAAGTATGCCACACAAAGTTAAGCATGAGCAACAATGCTGCCGGACCTTGCGATTTCTGATCTTTCGGTGTCTCGGCCCAAAAGAGCGCTTTGGTTAATTTGAATGTAGAAGTGTATAGATCTGCTTACGAAGATGAAAACTTTGGGATAATCATAGATACTCATTCATATCTGACCTATTATTCATTGAGCAGCAAATATGCACCGGCAACTAAGTTCTTGAAACTATAGCATCCTGTACTCGTGCCGACTAAAGTTGAAAATACTCTCCGTAGAAGTGAAGTTTCTTTCATGAAGATATCTTTTTTCGTTCAGAAGTCATCAGCATCAGAAAAAATACCATTCATTACGACAAAGGTGTCCCGGTTTCAGCCGACAGCTGTGTCCACTATGCATCGATTCCTCGGTTCCAGAATGCGGATCGTGTGCTTCAGATCAACTGGCAAAATCAGGGCATTAAGGATGCTATCCACCGAAATGAAGCCCAAGACTCTGGCCGGCTGGTTGGTCAGATCCATCAACACAGTTGCAATGATCCCACGGCTGAGGCCCATGCCTATTGTTCATTGATGGTCGGGGCTCATCGTAGAGGACTTTCGTAGGTCCTGCCTATGGTGCTCTCTCATGGATTTCTCTCTGTCCCAATGTGGGTTAGCAGTAGAAGGGCACCACCACCACTCTCTCCCCCTCTATGATAGCAGGAGCGTGTTTTGTCGGTTGATGCTGATATTTCATTGAAACAGTATGGATGATAATTTATTAATTTATTTAGATTGAATTTCATTAAGTAGTTAAGGACATTGATATAATGTTGTGTCGCAATTATCATTATTATTTGTGTGTGTGTGTGTGTAATTAGGGCTTAGAGTAGCGGAGTCGCTACCCAAAGCAAGCCAAAAACTGATTAAAAAAAAAAAAAAATGTATAAAGCTAAACAATTAAATTGCTAGGACATGTGTCTGTGTGCGTGCGTGTGTGTGGCTTTTGTTGCTGTTTAATTAACAAAACAATTCACATCAAACATACAAATCGTGTGGTTTTTAATACAATAGAACTGTTTAAGACTGTGCAACCAGCGAGTAGGACACTTTCCCTCTCCTCTCCTCTCCTCTCCTCTCCACTCCACTCCATTTCCGTACCCTTCTCTACTCAATCCCTCTGTCTGTCGCTTGGTTAAAACTTAAAATAAATAAATAAACATACATTTTTCAATGCGGGCAACAATATGTAGTTACAAATGGTGTACCAGTATTTCATATTGGTTTCTTCTCCTTCCTTTTTTTTTTGTGTGTGCTTTTTCGTTTGTTTTTTGTTGTTGTTGTGTTTTGTGGTTTTTGTGTGAATTCTGATTTCGCCTTGAAATGCAATTGCAAATAATAAATATCTATACAATCTCTGATGGTGCAGATAAAGCAAGGACTATCTATCGATTTGAAATTTTACAAAATTTAATTTGATTTGCTTTTGATTTGCTGTAGGACTCATGTTTCACTTTCTGCTTCTTTCTCTCTAATTTCTCATCATTTCTAATGTAAGTTTTAAGGCAATATCTTCTCTTGTATACCGTTTTAATACACGTATATATATATATATATCTTCCTCCTCCCCTCTATCTGGTTTTCCTCATGATTTGATCCATAATTTCGTTGAATGGGTTTATGGCTAATATCCGCTTGTTGCGCCACCGATCTGCTCCGATCTGCTCCGATCTGCTCCGTTCTGCTGCGATCTGATCCGATCCTTACATCAACTTCTGCTTGGCACAGTCGGGGCAGAGGATGTCGGGTCCGTCGGTGATGAAGCCGCGTCCCACCAGACTGGCCTTGCAGCTGGCACACACGAAGCAGTCGTGGTGCCAGTGCCGATCCTCAAACGAGATGAAGCGCGTGCCGCCAATGCCTGGGGGATAAACCATGAAAATGTTACCAACTCCAACGGATCTCAACGCTGCTCATCCGCTCACCTGTTATGGGCTTCACGCAGGCCGTGCAGCGCTTGGCAAACAGCTCGCCAAAGCACTCGGCACAGTAGGGCTTCTCGTCGCGACTGGTGAATCGCTGGCCGGCCAGCGTGATGTTGCAATGGGTGCACGTGAAGCACTCCCGATGCCAGGGCTCGTTCTTGTAGGTAACCCCGCCAGAGGTGATCACCTAAGCGTTGAGAGAGCGAGACATTACTAAAGGATATCTCAAATATAGACTATTGATGCCCCTACCTTGTTGCACTTGATGCAGCGCGTGGCAAACTTCTCCTCGTAGCAGCCGGCGCAGTAGATCTCCTGCTCCCGCGGTATGAAGGACTTGGTGCCGATGGCCGTCTTACAGACGCAGCAGCAGAAGCAGTTCTCGTGCCACTGACGGGTTTTGTACTCCATTTTCTTGGTACCTGCACGAAGGAAGAGAAGGTGGAGTTTGTTAGACTCTGAAATCAATCTATTTCCCAATCAATTTCCGGCTCTGCCGGGAGACCTTGAACTTTGCACTGTGTCAACGTCAACCCACTAACCCAGCTCTTTGGTGCGATTTAATCTAGGGAAAACATCAATTTCCAGCCATCGACATAGCCCCGACATATTCAGGCCGCCCTCAGAGTGGGGCCAGGGCACACTCAATCGCTGGATGGCAGACAATCGGATTTTCAATGTAAAAAAAAACAAAAACTTTTCCCCCATTATGTTTGCCAGACATGCAACATTCTCCCAGGGAATGGCGGGGGTGCCTGTCACGCCCCCACTCTCTCTCTCGGTCCCTCTGTGTCTCCCTCTCTGTCTCCTGAAGACTTCGACATTTTCGTAAACAATTAATGCAGAAATTACGCAAATATTCGGCTAGTCTCTAGACAAAAGCACTCCACTCCAGGGAAGACATTTCTGGTGGTTTTTTTTTTGTTTTTTTTTTGGGCCTCTGTTTAATGTTCCGCTGACTTTATTTATTGCGTGTTCGAAATGTCTGTTGCCAAAAATAAGCAGACACAATGGCAACAACAAAATAAAAGAGTTCAAGATAGTTTTTTCCCTTTTGTGGAAACTGTGGGAAATGTAGGCCGCAGAGCGGGTAATTGAGTGGAAATTATGCTGGCGGAAAATGGCTCTTTAATTTCTTTGAGGCCCTGGGGTTCGCATAAATTCATGGCCCACTTTGGACACCTTAATTTATGGCCCCTACATTTTGTCATATCAAATATCTAGACAGATTTCGTGTCTAGCTTGTTTCAGAGATGTTCCGTAAAAGGTCCATTGATTAGTCATCAATGACAGCCACATCATCCATAAAGATGACGCTATTGGCTCCATTGGCTCCATTGGCACTGTGGCCTGTGGGCGGTTCCTTTCTTCTGCTTCCAATTTGAATAGTTTTTGGGCAATAATAATGATAAATTATGATGTATCATTCCGGCGCTGATTAACATACGAGTAATTTATGACTCCACTCTTTTTGAGGGGTTACCTGCTTTGGTGGCACGCGGATCGCCCTGCCGGCAGTAGTCGCCCAGCTGGCAATGGAAATTGCGATTCTCCTCAACGGCGGAGGCATTCGGTAGGAACATGCTCAGCACGGCAATGTCCTCGTTGTTGTCCTTGGCCTTCTTGATGCGCTCCGCGCCAATGGTCTTTGACTGCAGATGCAATCGAGACTTCATTCTCGAGCTGAGAACATCCACGTCGGTCATGATCGAATGCTGCTCAGAGGATACCAGCCCCCCCACCGGCGGATTAGTCGATGATAAAACAGCAGCGCAACACGAATGGAAAGTGTACCCCAGATGTGGCTTCGATTGTCCCCCTCCACCTCCTCCTACTCCGAAAGTACTTTCTTAATAAGTCACGAAAACTGCCAGTTAATAGATCGCTTCGCCGCGATGTGGGTCAAAAGACTTGGCCCCCACTCCACAGCCCATTTGACCAAAAAGAAGACCAACAGCAGCAGCAGCAGCAGCAGCGGCAGTAGGCCTTATCTTTGGATCTGGATCTGGATTTGGATCTGGCTCTAGATTTAGATGGAATACAAATTTGGCGACGCCAAGTCGAGAGACCATCCACCATCCATCTCTCTCGTCAAGGCGTTGCCGTGCTGACGTGCCGCCGTCCTCTATGACATCATTTGCCGAACAACAAGTTTCATTAAACTTAGCGAATGCTTATAAATAAAATCCAAAGACCCAAAACCAAAACCAAAA